TTGACTGAGAAAGCAAGCTAATGCACCCATGCAAGAGAGCCAAGTGCTGGATCTGTGGCTTTTGACGAAGGCGAAGATGTACAGAAGCACCGCAGGGGCCCTGCGCTCTCTTTGAAGGGCAAAGTGTGAGCACTAGTAAGTTGTGTACTATTCAACGCTGACTCGATTATCAAGGCACTGCCAGGTCTGGCTGCCGAAAAATACTCAGAGGAGATGGGTAGCAGAGGCCAGCCACCATGACTCAATGAGTGCCGGAATAGAGTTGATAGTTCAAAAGTTACACACTAGAGCCTATGTTTGAAGCATAACGGTGCAGGAGTAATCGTATAGACTGTTTTAGAGCTTTTATTACAAACTTAGCGCTCCCATAACCTCGAACCGACATCCTCAACATCTTATACACAGTGTTCACCTCCTCCTGAGTCTTGGATGCCTCTTCAACTTAGCATGCCACACTAAGCTCAGGTACAACCTACATGTTTATTTCATCCTTGGCTCCCAGTTTTTGTCCAACTTTTCTTCCCTCAGTCTCTCAAGTCGTTCCGTCAAATTATTGTGCGTCCAATGCATAGGTCCCCTATCCCGCGCTGCCTCAAGTGCGTCGCAAACCGCGTGGTAGACTTCACTGAAATTACGAAAAATGTAGTCAAGTGCAGCAGTAAGAAGATTATCCACGTTGTACCTTTTCTTTGCCTTCTCGATGTACTTGTTGACCCGTTCGTACGTGATGCCATCCATCTCACGATATTTGTCAAGCAAGTATTGCGCGAACTCGATGTGGAGATCTGATGCCTTCACCTCATTGTCTCCAAACTGCCTACCCATTCTCTTGAGAGTCAATTAGATGGTGAAACTCTGGAAGCGGCACCGTGGAGTGAGTGCCCGTGGATGTATTGTCCTTACCTCGCAGTCAACGCATATGCTTTTCTTGAGGAACACATAGTTGGGGCACTTGACTTCTGGTGTCCAACACAAGATGCAAGGGAATATCCGAACAACTCTGTTGATATTCATTGTACTCCTCCAAGTGACCCTAGAAGATTGGTATCAAGTTTGAGCAATTCTCAGGGAAGGTTGCCAAAGGTCTAAGAGATGCGAAGTAAGATGGCCGTGCAAATGAAGAGTTAGCAGTTCTTATGGAGGCTGAAGTATTCATTGCTTTGATAGATTCGATTGATGTAAGTAAGGAGAATCTGATAGTATAAACGGCGATAAAGCCTGGTTTTTATCCTTCAACTTCACCCATGTCTTCTAGTATCTCTCCATCGGTTAACCTAGCAAACAATTTCACACAGATATGAATAAAACTCTGTATCCATAAATGCCTTGATGAAAAACTCGAGTGGTTTCACCAAGATTTCGGAGTATTGACTGATCTTACTTTCTACTGGCGCTGCTGTCGTACAACATCCAACGTTTAAAATGAGTGTAAGTGGATAGAAGGGAGGTGGCTGCAATATTGGTTCAATGGTCCATGCCCAAATTCTCGCACATCGTAAGATACGGCCATGCCCTTGACAGTTCAGAACTTAAATTGTGTGTAACAAGTGACGGTTCAAGTTCAACGGCTCTGATTCATACCTGGCGATATTCCTTTGTGTGACCTTTGTTGTACCCATCATGCATAGTGCGAGTATACAGTATCTTTCTTACAAAAGCACTGTCTATGATGCGCGCCCCAAGCTGTCGACATGATGGGCTGTCAACGCTTCGCGGTCATGCTCATGACACCCCCCAACTTCGCATTGGGACCGCCAACAACGCCCGAAGCCTGGCTATAACTCACCAGGTGGCGGCCTTCAGAAAACCCTCAATCCAGTGAACATCCACCGGTAAAACACAAGAGGCCCGGCGCACAGGCGTTCCCAACTTTGTGTCGTAACCGACTCCCTTCTGCCAATAGCTACCCCACCAACCAACAAAACAGCAAAAGATGGCACTCAGTGTCCACGAGATCTCCCAGTTACGTGCTGCCTTGCAAGACGCCGTCGTCAAGTGTTCAGAAAGATGCTTGTATCAGTCATCCAAATGGTAATCAGTCTCACCAAGCTATTATTAACCATGGCGCATGAACTAACATTGTCAGGGCTGCTGAACTGCTCAATGCGCTCCCCGAGATCGAAGAAGACGAAGAAAACATCAACCCTGCAGATCCCGGACACGGCTCTCCAATATTCGCTGCGAACAGCGATCCAGAAGAAGCAATTCTGGAAGCCAAAGAACTTAGCAAATATCTCTTAGCTAAATCTCTCTTCGACTGTCGAGAATATGACCGTTGCGCTGCTGTGTTTCTGCCCGACTCCCTCCTTTCAAGTGTTCTTGCCTCGCGTGTAGACAGCACTTCAGCATCTTCCACCACTCTAAAGGGGAAGGGGAAGGGTAAGGCGTCCAGAGCTTCATCTGTGATGCCACTGCCAAAGCTCAGTCAGAAAAGCCTGTTCTTAGCACTATATGCCAAGTTCATGTCCGGGGAGAAGCGCAGGAATGAAGACTCCGAGATGGTTATGGGCCCTCAAGATCTTGGTACAATTTCCAATAAGCAATTGCTTGTAATAGGTCGATTCTTAGCAACTTGGTTCGAGGAGAGGACAACGGAAGACGATGAAGTATTGGGGAGCCAGGGATGGCTCGAATATTTGTGAGTGCTATTCTTGTTGATTTAGTGTTGATCGACTAATCACAACCTACAGATATGGCATGGTGCTAGCCAAAGAGAAGAACGATGACAAGGCACTGGAATATTTTATCCGAAGCGTGCACAAGTACACCATGAATTGGGGCTGTTGGTTGGAAATGACGTCGTTAATATCTCGAGTTGAAGATGTGAGTCTCCCATGCAATATCCTCGCTTCTTTTCGATCGCTAACACCTTCCAAGTTGAATCGGATATCCAGACATTGTCCTCAGAATATTGTCTCTTACATGTTCCACTTGCACACCTCTCTAGAACTCTACCAACAAGGGCCTGGCCTGGCCAATTCTCTTGAACAACTTCTCTCGATATTCCCGACATCATCTTTCCTCCTCACATGCAATGCACTCCTGGCATATCACGCCAAGGACTTGATGGCTGCTGAACAGCACTTTACTCGACTGCTGGCACTCCATCCACATCGGCTAGATTCTCTCGATCATTATTCTAACATTCTCTACGTTCTCAATCTTCGCCCAAAATTGGCTTTCCTGGCACACCTATGTTCCAGCGTGGACAAATTCAGGCCCGAGTCTTGCGTGGTGATTGGAAATTATTACTCTTTACTATCGATGCATGAGAAGGCTGTCCAATATTTCCGTCGTGCGTTAACGCTAGACCGGTCATGCTTGTCAGCATGGACGCTAATGGGTCACGAATACGTTGAACTTAAAAACACCCATGCGGCAATCGAGTCGTACCGCCGTGCAGTTGACGTGAACCGCCGGGACTATCGGGCCTGGTATGGCCTTGGTCAAACATACGAGATGTTGGAGATGCATACATACTCATTATGGTACTACAAGAAGGCTGCTGGTCTACGACCATGGGATGGAAAGATGTGGATGGCTGTAGGCTCATGTCTACAGAAAATGGGCCGAGAACGGGATGGTATCAAAGCCTTGAAGCGAGCTTTACTAGCTGATGCTTACTATGACGTGGGGAGCAGTTTTGGTAGCGGTGATCTCCTTGGCAGCCGGAGCGCCACGGGCCATATGGACCCCGACATCCTTCTGCAGATTGCGGTTATGTACGACCAGCTTGGTGAAGAGGAAGAAGCCAGGTCATACATGGAATTATGCGTGGCCCAGGAAGATGGTGGTGGAGCTGCAGAAGCTGATCCGGCTGAGTCCATTGCTATTCACAACGACTCTCCACCCGGCTCAGATAATGGTGCCGAGGGCAACGAGAACACAGGGAACGAGGGAACCGGAGTCACGGCGGCGACAAGCAAAGCGCGCATGTGGCTGGCAAAGTTCTCAATGCGCACTGGAGATTACATAACGGCCTCTCGACTTGCGGGAGAGTTGTGTCAGGACGGTGTTGAAGTGGAGGAAGCAAAAGCACTTGTGAGAGAAGTTCGGTCTCGGATGGAAGCGACGGGAATGCTCGACCCGCTGAGTTAGCAATATCAGCAAGGACAAGTACATACCTAATCGTGTATTCAGAAGTGTGCAGCTAAGGATGTTTTTGGTTGATGAGAATCTGCATCACGTTGCTCGATGAATGTTCAAATAAAGATGGCTAGTAAATAATGTTATGCAGAGAATACATTCACCACGAGTAGCCACTCGAGAATACGCTAACAGGTGCATGATCTACTTATGTACCTATTTAAAACTTCCCCAGATCTACCATCGATTGCATCATCGATCATTCTTCCGAAAGCTGCACTTGTAAATGGTACTCCCGTGATGAGAGTTGAGGTCGGCCCGATGATCAAAGTCTATCCATGCACTATTCACACTGAAGTATATTTACACAGATCGGTAGTCAGTACCCGAGAAATGCACGTTTCAGTACCCGAACTCATCGAACGATAATCGCGGGAATCGTGCTAAACCAAGCCCAAAGCTCGGGAACCCCTTGCTATAGCAGGATCTTCCTTTTGTCTATGACTGATTAATAGATCGTGACGATTATGAAAGCAAGCCAAGAACTCACACCACTCTGGCGAGTCATAATACAAATATCTCCATGCAAGATGGCAACCTAAAGTCTCTATATTGTCTTGCTATTGCATTCTATCCAGATGCCATGTGCTTTCGTGAGTAATCTCTGGAGAGATGCAAGAAGCAACTTGACTCTTCTATCTAGGTTGGAAGCAGCTATGGCTTATATAGCTAAGCTAGACTTCCAGAAGGTTCATTAGGTTTACCTAGTTGGCAATCTACATCTAGCAAAACATACAAACATAACTAACAAACATAGCAAATAGCAAGTAAGAAGCAACAAGTCTATCCAACAATCTCCCACATCATTGGTGTCAATAATACAGTTTGGTCTAACATTGCTTTCCCAGGAGTGATCACATGGCCAAAGCTGCAACACCAGCCAATACGAAAGCCCCAAAGCTTCCAGATACCTTGTTAGCGGCGGCTGAAGGCACAGAAGCCTCGATAGTACCAGTAGGGTTGACTGGGGGTGGGGCAGCTCGAGATGGAGGAACAGCCGGTTGTCCGGGGATAGAGGGGGGGGAAGGAGGCGACTCTGGGACAGGAACCGAAATCTCGGGGGGTGGAGGAGGTGGCAGGGTACCAGTAGCTGGAACTGCAGCTTTTGTTGGAGAGGGCTCAGATGGAGGAGGAGGGGGAGGAGGGGGAGCTTCTGGGATAGGAACAGTGGACTTGGGGATTGCTGGTGGAAGAGAAGGCTCAGAATACGGGACTGTAGCTTTGGTATGAGGTGGAACCGGTTTGCCAGGAGGCAGTGGTGGTGCAGGAGTAGATGAGGACATCACCGGGGGCTTGGGGGGCATTGGCTGGCTAGGGGGGGCCGTGGGATAGACGACTGTCCCAGAGGGCTTTGTGTTCTGCGTGTAAGTGACAGTACACGGGCAGTCTGCCTAGTATGTCAACTGAAATCCAGAAACAACTAGGTAGGCATCATTACTCACTTGTGATGGTCAAATAAGTTGGCTCCGTGGCCGTGTAAGTGAGGTTTTTATGGTGAAACGTGGTAGGTTCCTGTTATAGTCTTAGTCAAGCTGAAATCAATTCACATTGTAGTTCAGACTCACAGGACAATAGAATGAGTAGTCAGAAGTGATAGTGGTCACGAGAGTCTCGGCCGTGCTGTGCTCCGTTCCATTTCTAAAGTGTGGTTTCGGGACAGGCGATATCATCGGAACAGAGCCAGCAGCAACACCCCTCATCAGCACGACAGCTGAGAAAGCCTTGTAGATCTTCATCATTGATCTTAAGTTTATGTGTGAGTATGGAGGCCAAGGACGGTTTTAGGGAAGATACGAGGATGTCAAGAGAATGTAAAATCACTCGATTGTTCAAGACAGCCATGCAACTTTTATATTTCACAAACTGACATGTGAGAGCATATGGAAACCACTGAATAACCTTCCAAGTTAAGAGACTAGGGGATTTCCGAATATACTTGAAGGACGGCAGACCCCGATGTGAGTGTAGGGCCGAAGATGGCTCTATATGGATGCAGAGAATGTAGAGGATGGGACAACTATGTGAAAGATCCTTACCAAATCGACATTTTCCGTCACAGAGCTTGCTTGGCTTTTGTAGACACAAGATGAAGAATCATTTAACCAAATTATCGATATAATCACGCTCAGGTAAACTCAAATGAAGTTCAATCCTGCACCAGATTTTATAGAGATGCCCCGCGGGCGAGCAAAGTCTCATTGAGACGGTGACGAAGTAGACGTGATTTGAAGTCATGATATCATTTCTCTTTATTGGACGATGTCAGTACCTTCGGCATCGGTGAGCGCCTCTTTCAGCTGCATACCATTGCAATGAGCGGCGAGTCCGTTCGTTCAGATATCCTTCTGGGTTTCGGATGTTTGTTTGAGTGCTTTGGATTGCATAAACGCAACACTTTCAATGTTACGAGCCAAGAAATTGAAAGTTGGTAATGGGCAGAATAGAATGACTGCCACTGACACTGAAGGCGTTATACGCAACAATTAAGAACTGCTCAATACACGCATATCTTCGATTCTATATAGTCAAGTACCTAATGTTGTGTGATGAAACCTACCTTATCTTAGTGTTCGAAGGAAAGGTAAGAGCAATAGGGTAAAACAACTATGGGTGAGATACCTAGGTAGGTAGTCAAGGAAACGGGCCCTTCGTACTGACATCGACATCAGTAGATCTCTATCAACGATCGCCAAACTTTTTGTTTTCCCGAGTTCAGATCCCCAGGTAATTGTTTTGGGGAAGCTTGATGGCGTCGTGTGTTCAAGAGCCTGTAATTACAAGAATCGGGCACAACTGGGACATAACCACAGGAATCGAGATGAACTATCCAAACATACGAGAATAGCCTAGAAGTATAAAGCTATGGACAAAAGAAAAGAAGAAAAAACACCACCACATAGATAAATTTATCAGTGCCTATCAACGACTTTCAGTAGAACGGAGTTCGTTAGTCAAGGTCACGTGCCGGTGCACGAAGCGGAAGTCGTCACAAGATTCAATTCACCCCACCTCCAGCACTTCATCGTCATATCCACGACCTCACAGTGAACTTTTCGCAAGTTTCTTTCTTACTCTTGACAAATAAGTCGATCAAGGGAAGCTCCCATTCTACACCTCAATGAACGCCGAGTATGAATATCTGGAAGACACATGCCATAACTTCTTCACTTTATACCCAGCACCCCCCTCCTACCTGGAATCAAAAGTGTTGACAAGTCAAGCTAAGCGTCTAATATGGCCCATAACTCTGCTCGATTTCAAACGAAATCTGGACTAGCTTAAGGGTGTCAGAACAGAAAGATGAGAGATTCTTCTGCTTTTTAAACTCCCAAGATACTATGCTCCCACCATCCACCGCGGGTTGTTATAGCCTAGCATAAGGTGATAAGACTGCGCAATAAACTTTCCTGGCACGTTGAAACTGACCAGCAAAGCACATGGCTATGTGCGGTCTCCTCTCCAGCCAATTTCGGACGTGAAGGAAAAGCACAGACTTGATATCTTCAACTGATCCAGCAGAAGTCAAGCCGCAGAGGTCGACTCCTTGACCCTGAGCTGCCGAAATCCATGAGCTCAACCAGAGAGTCTTCAAACCTCCACGACCATCATTGGGTGCTATTTAGATAAGCTCAAACATCATCACAAACCACAAACCATTCTCAGTCACCCAGGACTCGAACGCTTCAGTGTTTCCAAACTTTCTCAACAACGACCGCGCCTCAGATGAGGCATTTCTTACACACTCAGACACTGCACTACTTTCTTGGCCACGAACCTTGTTCTAGACCTCAAAACCAACACGATAAGAGGGAGACTTGCCGGCCGATGTGTGCGGACAGACTTGAGCTCGGAGTGGAGATTTGCTCTTCGGTAACGGATCAGATCGAGTACCTTCGGCCTCGCTTCAGAGATCACCGGGTTGTCGGCCGGTCTCCGAAATTGTGGACCTTTCCACTTACTGCTTGATGTTTTCCCGGCATCTGAACTTCGCACATCAGTTGAAGCAAAGTAGCGCACGCAGGTTCGTGCATCTGACCAACCGAATTTTTAAGTGTGGAAGTTATTGACAGAGTTGAAGTTGTGATCCGCTTTTTGAGGACGATTCACCGCTCACTGGCAGAACGCCTGCGTTTCTACATACAATCCGCCACATGGGACTAAGAAATTATGCGTGTGCGCATGAGAGAGGACTTCTGGCAACTCTTGTTAAAGGAAAGATCAAGTGGTAGTGACATGAGGCCTAGCCTCTTGCTGCATGTAGCAAGAATTGGTCTGGCAGCTACGATGACTCGCAACGACGAACTTTCCGCCGACATCGCTGGCTAGACACTAGATTTGGTTTGAATTTGGCGAGAAGAGGACGTGTCATCGACGACGTAGCATGAGGCAAGATACACTCGATCGTGTCTGATCGAGAACCAAAAGCTCGTTCAGCCCCAGATTTTGCTTTTGCAAAATCCTTCACATGCATAGTCAAAGCTGGCTAAGGGCACTGAGATCGACAATCAACAAAGATTGGTGATGTGAACGTCAGACCTCAGAATGGAACTCCACGGGCCTATAACAGCCAGTCTTAACACACTTGCACACCGTGGCACACTGGCTTCTTGGCTGCAGAACGTGCAGAACGGAACCTTCTCGGGCTAGGCCAACGATTTGAGGGGGAAGCCAAAAACCGCGCGGCGCAAAACCTTTCATGACAGTTTCGTACTGTGGGCAACGGCCTAGGCCACCAAGACGGAAGAAAGTCCGCGACGTTTTGAACACCAAGCAAGCGATTTTTTCGTTTGTTCCCACTCCGTTTAGACAAATCCGTTAAGTCCCATACTCGTCTAGTGTAGGGGCCTCAGGCACAAAACCGTGACCCATAATCCTATTTTGCACGTCTCCTCGGCCAACGCAACCTAGCATCATGGCGCAGTTATCAACAAAGCATTCTCGCGAATACCCAGCAAGCATTGGAGGCATTACAGTAGGACGCCAGTATGTACTATCATCGGGTCGACTCCCACCTTGCCATCTCGTGCCGACGGAAAACCCCATTGCCAGCGTTATCCTTCGGGGAATGTGACGAATCATTGTCCCAGTACCTTAATCGCGAATCGTAAGGATGCAGGCTTCTTCAAAATTACCTTAAGTTGATTATTGGTGACGCGGCAGCCCTACCCTGACCCCCATTGTGATGGATTTTTTCGTTCTATGGGTTACTCTACATAAACAGGGTCAGGAGCGTGGCAGACTCGGGGCAATTGATCGCCAGGCACAGCAAACTGTCAGAAAATTCTTGGTTTGCATTGTTGTCGTCGCGACGTGGCAACATATACAGGGTTTTTCTTATTCATCAAAACCGGACCATTGTCAAGAACTGAATCAAGATCTTTTTGAGGGTCTCGACTCTGCGACTAGGCCCGGGAGAACCAAAAGATAGTAACCGAGGGAACAGATCATGGCGCTCGCGTGCACTTATTTCTCTTTCTTTTTAACACTTCCTGGCATCCTTCAACGGTGCATTGGCTAGGAATGTCGAGTCGTTAGTGTCCGCACCGCGAAAAGTCTGTTCGCCTTTGCAGACTCGGAAAAGCCGCAGTGGCTACGATTATTGAATCAGTCTCCACGTGTCGGTAATGGATACGTAAGTTTGAAGTCGCGGAAGGGAAAGCCACATTGGCGTCAGTGGCCCAGCCAGCCGTGCCAGGATCTCAGAATTTTCATTGAAGTCTCAGGTCGTCGATGATGCCAGCAAGCGAAGCTAAGTGCTTGCATGGGACCAGACTATTCCCGGAAGAGTGCCAGCAGAGTCCATAATTTTAACCGTAAGAAAATTGTGTTCTGGTCCTGCAGGTTTTGCTGACGTGCACACCGGTCAGCTTGCAAAGTTGCAATGAGCCCTGCCCAACCCAACGTTGGACCCCTGTGCGGTACGTTTGCTCCCGTTATCCGACAGCCTGAAAGAGAAAGGTTCCTCACACCCTCCTTGCGTAGAGCAGATTTCGAAACAAGCCTTTCCAAGTCCAACCACATGGACGCCTGTCAGGTACCAGGCACCGGTGGTAAACAGCTAGCCAATGGGAGACCAGAAGCAGCTAGTCGAATCAAGCCAAGCTGCAGCTAGAAGAAAAAAATAGAGCGATATTATGGGACCTGGCCCCTCCCTTGCAGGCTTAGAGGGCACAGTACTGTACAGTACCGGTAGTGTAGCCGCGGAACCGGTGGGAGCGGCTACGCTGAATCGCTGACAGACGCCTCTTGTCTCTGGTCTGCGGGCTTCTTGGCCCAAACTGGTAGGGACAGCATTGCCTTAGTCCCATGTGAAAGAGGACCCAGAAGCTTGTCTTTCGAACCGGATTTCCTTCTGGCTCTGGATTTGTTGTACTGTACTGTATCTGTCCATCTTTTGGATGCTTCCTTTGTTGTCGCGCGCTTACTGTGCAGTGAAACAACACCCCCAAGTCACAAAACGACACAAATTGTTTCATTTGCAGACGACGAATGAGCGACCAGAAGCGATTGTTTTCTCAAGTCGAAGACAAGATGAAAAAAGCCACAAAGGAACCCGTTGAAACAACGGCCTGGCCTCCCTTTGTTCTGAAAGCTTAAACATAGAAACGGCCCGCACTCAACAAGCATCCCCCGGACCAGTCAGGAGCAGCTGAATGAGCCCACACCCACACCACCACAGGGACACGCAATTCACCGTACTATGATACATACTGTCTGTATGTATGTACATATGTACTCGTGATTGTGCTGGGGCAGATGAAAGGTGCAACGGAATCACTGCAGAAGTGCTGGTGCGGGGGAAAGCAGAGACTTTGTTGGTATCACAAGGCCTGACCTAACTTACCTATGCATAGGTAAGTTGGGTTGCTCCGAGTAGAGCACAGTGTACGGATAGTTCATTTCTGCTTTCTGTTGTGAACTGTTGGCCGATAAAGTGGTTCCGCTCACATCGAAGTCACATCCACACTTATAACTCACCCCCACAACACTACCGGGAAGGCTTTTGCAAAGCCCGTCGGGACAAGTCAAGCCAAGTCAAGTCAAGTCATCCTAGCCTCACCCTCCTCGTGTGTTGACTCCACTGAGGCGCTTGAGCGTTTTCCTTGACAAATCTGATCTCGGCAACCCTAGTCTCCTCCGTATAGTACACCAGGTCTTTGGGTTCTGTCGTGTCCAGATATTGTTTATAAAACGGGCCTTCCTCTCTCCTTTCTCCAGATGTTTGCCCTGATCAACACACACAGTCCTTCCGTTTCAGATTACACTCTTGTCTTCGGACGATCATTCCTTTGACTCAAAAGCTTCTCATTCCTTTTGGAAGCACAGTCTATCACGATCCCTGATCAACTTTGAACGAGCTAGTTCTCGACCACCAACTTACTCCATCACTTCGGAGTATCACAAGTTCTGATTCAGTCCTTCCTCAGACGCTACATAAAATCAATACTCTTGTCTTGACGACAATCGAGAATTCTCCATACAAACACATCCCCATCACAATTCCCAAAATCACGCCGCCAACATGAAGTTCGCTACTGCTCTCGTCGGCCTCGTCGCCTCTGCTACCTATGCCGCCGCTGCCTCGGTCACCTTCGTCACTCTTGACGACAAGGAGCGCACCATCATCTTCACCCCTGACCCTGGTTATGAGGGCCCCGAATCTGTTACTGTCAGCTCGGCCAAGGAGGTTACTGTCGACTTCCCTGACAAGTACATTGGCAACTTCTACGCTGTCCAGAAGGGCGAGACTGATCAACCCGGCATGCTTGGTGAGGTCACCTTCGGCGGCTGGAACGGCAAGACTTATTTCGATGTCTCTGCCATCGTGGACCCCAACGACAAGGACAACGTCAAGCAGATGTGGCCCAAGTCTGCTGCCACCCCCATGTCTGGCTGCGAGACTTTCCCTTGTGACAACTGCTACTGGCTCCCTGACGATGTCCAGACCAAGGTCACTGACGAGGTTGACCTCATCACCACCCTTGGAGACGGCGCCAGCCCCTACAAGGCCCAATCTAACTAAACGTCCATGTCGCCAATTCACCGGACGGCCCTTGACTTCACTTCTTCACCACCCCCCTTTTACACTTTCACGCTGCGGCGTTGAACACCGCGTTGACGATGATATGAATCCCTTTCTTCATTTCACTACACGATTCTCGTTTTACATACCCCGAAAGATACCCCTCGTGTGTTGCAAAAACCGAGGCCTTTCTTCATAGACCTTTGGGCTGGAGCAGGTGGCGCTTATGGATGGATGTATGGATTACACAGGCAAGACAGGACAAGGACAAAACAGTACTCGAGTCACATTCTTTGGGACTCTTGAATACAGAGCAGCGTCATTCTTTCCGTGCTCTCGTAGCATCACAGGCTTGATGTCTCTTGTATCAGCAAGAGAATTGAGGCTGGCACTCGTTCTATATTCTTGAACATCTTCTTACACTCGTTGGAATCTAGACCATGTCTGGAGAGACTTTTACATATACTTCTTTGTACATACTTGACTCAGGGCGCAAAAGCTCCTTTACAAAAAGATGAGGTTCTCCCTTAGGGACAACAAATTTTTAGACTTTAGACCTGGACATATAGACTTGAAAACATGGATTTTTGACCTGTACGCATCCAATATTGTTTGATCCCTCCATTTTGAAGAAGAAGAAAAAATTTGAGGTTGTGTTGTGTGCGTAATTGGGTGACGAAGCCACAGCCACATGTAAACTTGAAACAAATTGCCGCCCCTGGCCTTTTCCCTTGTCTGGACGACCTCGTTATTTAGAAGCCCGCCGAGTGCCAACTACTGTTCTTTGGTTTCTCACCGTCGCCTGACAGAAGAGGAGAGAGGACACGTCAGTCACGCATCACGGCCTGATGTTGTGTCTGCAGGAACAAGGTTATGCCTGGCCCTGGCCGGAATGTGACATGGCCTGCATGGAGTCTCTGATCTAACGTAGATACAGTCCAGTACATACAGTGACCGACACTAGGTAGTTAAATTGTCAGTGAGTTGCGCTATGTTGTCCGAGTTGGCGCTGACTGGACACCGTGGGCAATAAGGCTTGAATTAAAGGGGCAATGGTAAAAGATGAGGTTGCGCTGCTTAATGTTTCTTCTTAGGAAAGCAAACAGGAAATAGCCACTACTGAATTGAGTTTTGACTGATCGCGTTGCTGTTGATCACCCTGATTGTATGTAGATCATGTACCCCTGCGAAGTATGATTATCCCAACATTGAACCCGCGCTTCAGCCAAAACCGGACAGACCCGGTCGCGGGAGTGTCAACTATTGTTTCCGCCTGTGCTTGTGCGACTTCGGGAGACTTCTGTCCAACAAACATGTGAGTCGCATATAAAAGCTCAGACTGTACGGATAGACCTGTTTGGTCTGTGCCTTCAGGGATTGGCTTTATTGATGTGCACAAGGGATAATGGTACAAGGGAATTGTCACTGGCAAGAAAATCTCAGATTGACCTGGCTTTGAGAATGGAAAAAGAAAAAAAGAACTGACTTTTCAACTTGTAAAGGGAAGCTAAGCATTTACCATCAGATGTAGTGAACGTTAAGAGGCCAGCTTCTACGTCACAAAGAGGTAGCGTTGCGCCATTGAGGGCCCTGCCGAGATCTCGGAAACCCGAGCAAGCGGTTCTCGCCAAGTCTTGACAGCTTCCTCCCGTCGGGAATTCAAGCCTAGTTGCTTACGAGAAGACAGGTATTTGGATGGGGCTTGAGACACTGGAATGCAGTTCGCTTGGAATGCGGGTTGCGGGAAAAAAAAAGGGAAGCTTGACGCCAGGCTCGAGTCGAGAACTACCAATCTAGCTAGCTTACACAATACTATAACTCGGAACTATAACAGCTCTCAACTGTGAGAGCGTATCTGTGGTGTGGTGTGAACTCGACGTCAGGCGAATCTTTCACATTAACTCATTGTCTACATCTCCGCCTATCGAAGGCGAGTCGGGATTGAGTGAACGTCAGCAATGCAACTGCTGGTGCTTGTTCTGCAAGGAGGCACTTCGTGCAACCAGACTCCTCTCGATCATTCGCCCGAAAGAAAGGTGCTATTAGTTGAGTTGTCATAATATCTACTTCTCTTCCTTCTCCGCCGTGGATTCCGATGCAGGAACCGCCTCACTCTCCTTGGATTCTTCATCTCTTTTTTCATCTGCGGGCGTTTCTGTTACCTGCTCCACTGCCTTGACCTGCTTAGACTTAATGATCTTTTGCAGATACTCGCCCGTTTCCCCAAAGCCATCCAGTTTTCCGAGTTTTGTCGTGAGGAATTCAATGTCGTTGTTCATACTGGAGATGGTCAGTTGAACTGCCTAGTTAAAACTCAACAGAACGTACCTTTTCAGGCCAGTTTCAGTCTTGGGATCTGCTTCTCTAAAACTTGACCCAAGCTGATCCCTGTAACTAGCAAACACAGGAAGCATGATCATCTGGATTGATGTCTCGGGGAGGTGCTTCGTTAGGACACGATGCAGAGTAGTTGTCTCCTTCGCCAATGTTTCCATGTATGAATGGACGCCCTTGTCTCCATCTGCTTCCCAGTCGATCGTCTTCATCGTCCGTGAGTGAATGGCAGCGCGGCCGCCCATGATCTCAACCAGTTTCTGGTAGATACTATCTTGATGCTCTTGCAGTAGTCGTCTAATCTTGTCGAACTCACCCATGAGATTTGATACGCTCGCTCCGGATCCAGCGTGACGTCGCACAAATTCCCTAACATGCGGTATCAAAGTTGCTGTGAATGAGAGCGCCTGGGAGGCCAAGGCCAAATGCTTGGTGGTGATGTTCTTTAGCCCAGCTGACCGCGTTGCCCCGGCACCAAGAATTAGCTGGGTGCATCTCGAGTTGAAGAGCTGAAGATACGCGATCAATGAGGTCGCAATATCAACAGTCATAGACGGTATACCACTGATCAGATGAGAGAACTTGGCGATTCCATCTAAACATAGAATGGCTGACTTTGGTAACATGAACGTCTCTGAATCGATTGTAGCAGTCCTGGTCTTTTCCTTGCCGGTTCCGTTTGTTTCGATTGCATCGTCCTCATTGACAGGCTCTAATTCCGAACTAGGTACCCAAATCTTGGTACTGTCTGTCCACTCATGAGGATCATGCGTGCTGCTGCCCAGGATGGTATTAAGCAACTCGGTGTTCTTCTCGGTAAAGTCTTTGGCATTCCACTGATCAGATTCCATACCCTGAGCGAGCTTCTGCATTTCAGCATCGCGATTCCGTTGCACGAAGTCCTTAATGTGTCCATTAACCACATTCTTGAGTGACGTGCCGCTTCGGCCAGAGATCGACTCGCATTCGGTGGCAAAATAGAGGTTGAGTGTAAAGTACCGGAGGAAGAGGGTCAATGGCAACTGTGCAGTCTGCTCTGCTCGAACCTTTAAGACCTTGACGATTTTCTCGATTGCCACGTCGACAGCTTGGCCAAGGAGATTAGTAACGTCAAGGCTCTTATGGAGCTCCTCCTGAACCTCGATTGTTGCACTGTTCATAGGATTGCTTGGGAATCTATCTGGCCTCGGACTGGATATTGGTGATCTGACTGTGGGGGACATCAACCCTTCTCCTTGTGGGCTCTCAGTGAGGGAGCTGGTAATCTCCAACAAGACCTTGACTTGTGTCGTAAGTCTCCTGAGTGTCTCTGTGACTCCAATGTAGATCTTGATCAGAAGGTCCTCACCATCCTCAGGATCCAAAGAGCGAAGATTCCGTGCCAAAATGGAAGACTTCTCCTGGTTTGACAGATGACGGCCACCACTTGCAGTAGAGACTGACATCATCGACTCATTGTCATCATCTGTAGAACTGGGCAAGGGGCGTCTGATCAAGTTTCGGATTTCACGCAAGACAGACTCTCGGTAAGCAACAGTCGCTTCGGCGATATGTTTTGCTCGATGCAGACCAATCATATTAGGCAGCAGCTCGGTCTTCAACTCATCGGTATTTGTGAGATAGGTTGGAAAGACTGAAGGAGACCTAGCATGGCTACCTTTGGATCGACTAGCTGCGTTGCTCCACCTGAGAAGAATCTCTTGGGATGACACAGATTCGACGTGTCGTCGTAGATCACGTATTAGAATATTCTGAAAGTTGGTTTCGTATGCCTTTCCTATGCGAGACCGCAAAGCTGTTAGATCCGCGTGGATGCCCTGTAAAGCTGAAGCTGAACGCAGGTCCCGCAACTGAATCTCAGGTTCATTTGCAGTAGTAGCGTCCCTTTCGCCTGCGATAAGCTTTTCAAGAGAGTCGATATTCGCCAGTGCCTTATCGACTTCCCCTTCGTCCACTAGCGTCTCACAGTTTGCAAGGCCATCCGCAATCTGCCTCAGCTGAAGCACAGCATCGTTGAGTTGACGTAGATTTTCTTGGCGCCTTCGCTGGTAGACAACATGGAGGCCTCTGGTTGCAATTTCTTCATCCAGAGCTTTCAGCTCTTTTCTGAGTGTCTTAATTCTCCCCACGGATTCCGCGGCCTCTGAGTGGAGTTCCTTCAACGATCCCAGGGCAGTAAAAAACGTTGTTGATGCGGCGGAGATGGAATTGATTAGATGAACCTCGATAGTGTCCATGTACCAAGACAACTTCTCTTGCAAAATTGCATTGGTTGCAAGAGCCTTCCTTGGCGCGGCAGCGCTTCCGTTGAGTGAGCTTTGCCCATCATTGGCGTTGGCGGGTCGGATAACCTCGGATCGTTCGCTCACAATGTCAAAAGTTCGGGGGTTCTCGAGATGGAATTCATCGTCAAAGTACACAGTCGGGATCGTTGATAGAGGAGGGGGTCCATGCGTGGACCTTCGAATGAAGCCAGCACTTTGTCTTCTCACAGGGCTGTGACCATCATTCGAGTTCATCGAAGAAAGTGATGCAGTCGAGCCTTTCCGAGTTGGACGAGGTTTAGGCCCCGGCCGTAAGTATCCATCACCACTCGATTCGGTCGTGGTATCTTGCCGGCCAGTGCGCTGCTCTTTGTTGACATCCTCGTCGCTATCTTTCAAGCGCTGAAGCTGTTCGTATAGGCTTCCGATCTGTGACAAATAGGGTTTGAATTCCTCAGCGTCGACCTTTGTGATGTTTGTCAACGTTACTGGGGGGATATCCCGAGCCGTCGGGGGTTTATGTGCGGTTGAGGCCGGTGCTGAGGTGTGAGGCTGAAGACCAGTTCGTACAATTGGGGGTTGAAGAAGGGTTGAGATGGCTTCAAGAGATTAGCTTTACGATGGAAAGATCCGTGAAGTAAAACCAACCATTTTGACTTGACTCGTATACTGAAGCTGCTAAATTACTGGGAGCACTGTCAAGAATACCTCCTACTGAATGAATGGAGCTCGCTGTAGAGCCACGTCGTGATGACGGGTAGGGATGCATTTGAGCATGTCTGTGGCTGTTGCTGCGACCAAGTTAGTCCCGTTTGTTGGTATATAATAGAGGCACATAAGACTACCTATGAAAGGGAAGCTCCCCGCGACCTATAGGCGACAATGCCGCAAGGTTGTCCGCAGACTTGGTAGCGTTGGGAGAGCTGGGAGAGAACATGATCAATGGAGATCCGGATAAGCAAGGACAGCTTCAGAGGTGAACGTGGGATGTAGATTAGTAGGGTATCATCGCTCAAAGGATTGCAAACAAAATGTGCACCGTCAAATGTATATGATAGCTAAGATGTGAAAGGACAATTAAGTGAAGAGAAATAAAGGGAGGATCGGAATCAAGAATGCGCCATCATCACCAAAAATGGTCTTGAATATTACCTTCAGTACCTCGCCGTCTAGACACCTTGTAAGTTACGCAACCTGCCCCCCCTAAACCGATTATTGCCTTGGCGTTGGCACGTGATGATAAGCGCTGAGCTTCTGATAACTGTCCCTTTAGGTAGAGCTGCAACCACTATACACACGCGTCGCGTCTCCAGGGACTTCGCGTTTTCGCGTAAATTGACCTAAGGTTACCCTTCCAACTTGCGGAGCAAAGCCCCTCCATCGATCCACAAACAAGATCTCCAAACTCCCTGGTCAACTTTTGGGCTTGCAACGAAAAGAAAGGAGTGATTCACCAGATTATTCAAAATCACGCAGATACACAATGGACCGCGGATCAATCTACTCGGCTCACGTCTATGAGCCGAGCTACGCTGAAAATGGCGATACTCGAATGCAGCTCCAGACACAGCTTGAAACATTCATCCTTGATTTTCGACTGGATAACAACTTCGTCTACAGGTTTGCCCCCAAATATCTAGCTTTTCGACAGTTCTTCATAATAACGGTGCTGTAGAGATCAACTCCGAGAGAATGCCCTTCTCAAGAGATACTTCTGTGATGTCAACATCAACGACTTGATCAGCTTTAACGAAGAGCTCGCCCACCGATTGACATCTGAGCCAGCAGAGATTATCCCTCTGGTAGGGGCCACACAGCGCGCAACATACAAATCTCTAACAATTCAATAGTTTGAAAATGCATTAAAAAAATGCACACACCGTATCGTCTTCCCCCATGAGCCCAAGGCCGAGATCCCTGATCACCAACTTCTCCTTCACTCGAATGCCGACGACGTTTCGATCCGTAACCTCGATTCCGTGACCATTGCGCGACTGGTGCGAGTCCCGGGTATTGTCATCGGCGCCTCTGTTATGTCATCTAAGGCGACAGGACTCCATATCCAATGCCGCAACTGCGGACACACACAAAACATCCCTGTCCTAGGTGGCTTCACAGGTGTCACTTTGCCTAGACAATGTGCTCGTAGCCGAGTTCCCAATGACCCAACTCCAAAGTGTCCTTTAGATCCCTACTTTGTTGTTCACGAAAAGTCTGGCTTTGTTGATCAACAGATCATCAAGCTCCAAGAGGCACCCGACCAAGTCCCTGTCGGAGAACTGCCTCGACACGTTCTCATCTCAGCTGACAGATACCTCACAAATAGGGTGGTTCCCGGATCGAGATGTACTGTTATGGGCATCTTCTCGATCTACCAAAACAAGGCTTCCAAGAATTCTTCCAATGGTGGTGCTGTAGCCATCCGTACCCCTTATCTCAGAGCGGTTGGAATCCAGACAGATATCGATCAAGCAGCCAAGGGAAATGCGACTTTCTCAGAGGAAGAGGAGCAAGAATTTCTGGAGCTCAGCAGACGGCCCGATATATACAACGTGATGGCCGACTGCATTGCGCCCTCTATTTACGGTAACCGCAATATCAAGAAGGCAATTCTTTGTTTGCTGTTAGGTGGCTCGAAGAAAATTCTTCCCGATGGAATGAAATTAAGAGGCGACATCAACGTGTTGCTTCTTGGCGACCCCGGTACAGCCAAGTCACAGCTTCTGAAATTTGTCGAGAAAGCGGCTCCTATCTCTATCTACACCTCGGGAAAGGGCTCCTCCGCTGCAGGTCTGACAGCATCTGTTCAACGTGATCAATCTACTCGGGAATTCTATCTCGAGGGTGGTGCCATGGTTCTGGCTGACGGAGGAGTTGTGTGTATTGATGAATTTGACAAGATGAGAGACGAAGATCGCGTTGCAATTCATGAGGCTATGGAACAGCAGACTATCTCTATCGCAAAGGCGGGTATCACCACTATTCTGAATGCGCGAACATCGGTCTTGGCTGCTGCCAATCCTATCTTTGGTCGGTATGATGATATGAAGACTCCTGGAGAAAACATCGACTTTCAGACTACTATTCTGTCACGTTTTGATATGATTTTCATTGTCAAGGATGACCATAGCCGCGAGAAGGATGAGACCATGGCCAAGCACGTTCTCAGTATCCAGATGAATGGTAGAGGCGCCGACGACATGACTGAAACTGAAATTCCCATTGACAAGATGCGACGATACATCACCTACTGCAAGACGTGAGTTGCAATTCCAACTTTGACAATCTTATTTTGTTTATACTAATACCTGGCAGACGTTGCGCACCCAGGTTGAGTTCCGAGGCTGCTGAAAAGCTTTCTTCTCACTTCGTCTCCATCCGACGCCAGGTTCATGCTGCTGAGATGGAAGCAAACACACGTTCCTCTATTCCCATCACAGTCCGCCAACTCGAGGCTATTGTCCGTATCACCGAGTCTCTTGCTAAGCTTACCCTTTCACCCATCGCCACCGAAGTACATGTCGATGAGGCCATTCGACTGTTCCTGTGCTCTACAATGGATGCCGTCAACCAGGGCAGCAATCAGGGGAGTCGCGAGTTGAACGATGAAGTTAACCGCCTTGAGACGGAGCTCAAACGTCGCCTGCCTATCGGCTGGAGTACTAGCCTATCTACACTCAGGAGGGAAATGGTCGAAGGCAAAGGATACAGTGAACAAGCGTTGAACCGAGCATTGATGGTTCTTCAACGGAGAGACACGATCATGTTCAGGAACCAAGGTGCCCAGGTGTATAGGAATGGAGCTTAATGTGGTGACGAATTCAGATAATGTCAAAGGCTTGTTTGTCAATTTCGACAGATGTCTTAGTGTAGACTTTGTTAATGAGTAATGAGGCGAGATCATTATGACTGTTGTATATGACCAACCTAATTAAGATAATCCAGTTTAAGCATATTCCTCGCGAACGCTTTGATTTCCTAACCATGTTATGATATGCCTCGATGAAAAAAAGTCGTGATTCTCTTATTCTTTTTTCAGCATCAGCTGCCGTATGGTTATCTACTCTATCACCCGGGCCGCGGTACATTGTAGGGCCAAGGCCAGGGCGAGTAGGGCGGACGGGGGCAAGGGGAGGATTTAATCCTAAATAATAAACAGACTTAGGCAGCTTAGCATAAGTTTAGGGTAAGTTTAGGATACCTCATATTAAATTATTCTCTTAATACCTGGCGTAATAGTTAAGATTACCTGATAATCCTTATAACTTAATCTTATAATAAGTCCTTAATGTATGGCGGCGGCGCCTAGGAGCCCGAGAAGTTGACCCAAAAGGGCCACGGTTGTTGCTGCTGGGGGGCTGCCTCCGCTGCTGCCAAGCGGGCACGGCAAACACGAGCCTTATGGCCCTATCTTCGGCACTGTAGATTAATGTAAATTAGTATATTATCTTGAAGGAGGAGAGTAAGAGATCAAGAGAGTTAAAAAGCCTGAAAGCAGTGGTCTGATCAACAGGTGAAGGAGATTTGACGTCTTGAGGTGTTGAGGTGTAGGAAACCATAATCACACTGCGCTCAATATGAATATTTCCAAGCAGTTTGCGATAATGAAAGAGATTTTTTACCAAGGGATAGAGCTCAAGCGTATGGATTGTAATCAAGGGAAAAGGCAGTAGGGGAATAAATATACTTACGTAGTTGCAGCGCACATGGCGCCGACCACCACCAGCAGCACCAGCACCACCGACGTTGATCGTATTGTATTGATTCTATATATGTTTGTTAGCATGTAGCTCTCAAGTCTGCAACAAGCTTCTTACGGTCATTATCGACTTGAACGTGTGAATTCGATAGGTGCTTTGTTGGCTTGAATGTGGGATTTCGATAGGTGTTTTGATAATAGGAATATGTGATGCCGATGGATGCTTTGTCGACAAATGTGTGATTTCGATAGGTGCTTTGTCGACTTGAGCGTGTGATGGCTGGCTTGTGGCGGCCAAGCGTTCATAGCGACGCCGCTTTTTGATCCTTGATTCAGAAGATGGAAAGGAAGCTGAGGAGCGGGTTAATACATAAGTGCACGTGATTATTCCAGGCATCCATGAGGCAATATTTTCAGGCATCAGCAGAACGTTTTGGCAAGAGCGACAGCCGGTAGGTGCACTCTACCGAATTTATTATAACGGGCAGTACAGTACATCTATTAAGTTTCGCATTAGCCAAGGGGAATATTTGCTTTAAAGAATGAGCATACCATACATTATCAGCTCAGTATAATTATCACGAATTTATATGTTGGTGTTTTACGTCCTTGAACATTGAGCTTTCTAAGTTTCGGACATTAAATCTTAGTGGTGCAGCTCACAGGGTCTAGCGCCGGAGATGTGGCGCTAGGTAAACAACGCTCATGCAAGGTACCAACTCTTAATGCACCCAGGGGTGTTACTGTAAGGCATGATATGCACTACCTCAGTCAATCCATTACCCTTGCTCAACTGAGCCCAACAAGCCACTGAAATTATGTACCAAAGCCATCACAGAGCCCTTATCCCTCATGATTGAACTGGTGATGGTTTCTCAAGCAGAGGATGCCATCGCCCCCGACATGGGTACTCTCAACCCTCGTCAGAGTCCACAGCCCAACGCCACTGGAAGGATCACAGCGTTTGAGATAGGCGTGCCTCGGGGAGCACAAAAACACCGGACCTTAATATAGGATGTCAAAATAAACTCAGCAAAATGTATACTAAGGTTAGTAAAGGTGCCTTAAACCTAGATAATAAAGATATCCTAAATTTATGCAAATTTACCTAAGTCTTTTTGCCATTTAGGATCAAGGTCCTGAGTTTTCTTTCCTCCCCTAGGCGTGACAACAGGGATTTGCACGATCAATATCCTGCAGATGGTGAAGACCATGGTCAACTCGGTATGCCGCATCAAACTTGTCGTGGGACTGTATTATGAGGATCATGAGGTGATCTTAGTCATTGAGCCACGTGTTGAGGGAATGGCCCAAACGTGGAAACCGGTGTGCCACCCTGAGATGCCCAGGTGTTCAAAGAAGAAGATCTGCTCAACAATGGCTTGCCCAGGTCTTGCTACGCTGGTCGCACACTGGTCGATCTAATTATCCGAATTATGTTTGAAGAGAAAACACGAATCTAACAGAACTGACAGAGGCGCAACGAAAGAGGAGGGGGCCCATAACAATTCAGATCTTGGTTTGAACAGAACCCAGCCATGGCAACCTAAGGTACGAGGTTTGATTCAATAACGTTTTTACCATTATTCCTGCTCTGTGCTACTACTAGAATGCATTTGTACTCATCGTGCAGTTGGACCAGACAAGACTTTTTGCCCCTGTATCGACTACATTGGAACCAAACCCACATCTATGCCAACACCCACTACGGATAGAGAAATTCAGATCTTACCAACCTTGATGCTGCTCTCTAAAGGTTGATGCTAAGGCCCAGATACCTGTCCCGTGAAACTTCCATATATGCTTAATTTGCATTACACATTTGAGAAAAGGAGCTGAGGAGTACTGGTGAGTGCCTCATTGAATAGACTTGCTTGTGCGAGTCTTTGTTAAGCTGCGGCGAAGAGCGTTGCTCGCCCGTCGCTCCAACTCGGCCTCATGAACCTCCTCAGCGGCCTGATCCTCCGTGATCACCTCGTGCTTGGTGCGCATCTTTTGAAGGACGTTGGCAGCCTCTGCAGCGTACTCGCACTTCATACGGATAGTTTCCCCGTATTTGTAGAACAAGAACGGGAATGGGATACAAGCAACAGCCAGGAAGGCAGGAACAGAACTGGCCCAATGAATGCCAAGGTTTTTATACATATATGTCGTGAAGAGGGGAAAGGCAGCGCCAAAGAGGGAACGCAGGACTGAGTTGGAAGCTAGGACTGAGGCACTGAAGATGACGTCTTCCATTGAGAATTAGCCGGATGATATAATAAGGATTGCTGTGACAAACTTACATGAATCTATGAGGTAGTTCAGAAGTGACAGAAAAACAGAAACTAAGCCGCAAGCGAAGAATGCTGAGCCTATGATAGACACAATCCAATGCACATCTTTGCCGTTGGTCCAGGCAAACCAGAAGAGGCCGGCTGGAATAAGTATTGAGCCAGCCAGCGAAGGGGGCAGCCTAGCTTCAGGAGGTGCATGGCCGCCGGCAGCTTCGGCAGCTCGGGCGTATCTTTTATTGTCCAAGATAGTCCCAGTAACTGCAAATAGCATTCCCACAGCGATGCCAGTGAAAGCAAGTCCTCCGATTCCTGGACTCCATCCGCGACCCTGCTGAAAGACAATTGGGAAGGCAGCAAAGCAGAGGTATAGTGTTCCGTAGATGATGGCCATGTACAGCGAGGTTAGAAGAACAATGGGTTCTTTGATTAGCAGGACCCAGGGACGAAGTATCCCAGTCTTGAACTGTGTGGCAATAGTAGTGCGAGGACGACCAACATCCGTCTTGGAGATATAAACCTTCCCACTCCTTTTGGAAAGGACAGCTGCTCGGCGACGCAAGAGATAGGGGCCATAGGTCTCAGGTATCACCAGTGAGTTAACAATCCACACCACACCGGTGAAAATTGAGGTCATCCCCATCACCCAGCGCCAGCCTTCGCTCTCGCCGAGAAACCCGCCAGCAATGGGGCCTGTTGTGGAATACTCAGCGTCTTCTTCGCGATATCAAGAGTGTCGAACTCTGTGTAGGGGTTGGCCTACCAAGGGTAGGGCCCAGGAAAGGGGCCATGGCAAAGAGAGCTGTAGCGAGCCCTCGATCTCGTGCTTCAAACATGTCAGCAATAACACCGCCCGCGTTGGACAATGGCGATGATCCAAAAGAACCAGCAAAGAAACGAAGTACTATCAAGGCCGCCATGGTAGGAGCACCTGCGGCACCTGCGTTGAACGCAGTCAAAGCCATGAAAGAGACAAAGAATGGAATCTGTCGACCATAGAGCTCTGAAATATCTGTTAGTCAGTCACATACCAAGAAGAACTTCTTTGCCTTAGCAACGGGCTCCCTGGGTTTGGATAGTCTAACCAGATAGGGGTGCCCAAATCAAAGGTCCTAGGGCGAAACCGACGACGAACATAGAAACACCAAGTATGGCAACTTCAGTTGAGACATGGAAGTGCATCAAGATGGAGGAAAGGCCGCCAGAGTATGCCGTACTGGTGAAGGTAACGGCCAACGTTGCTATGGCCTGCAAGATCGTAATAAGCCACTTCTTTGACCGTGAGAAGTTCAATGCATTTCGACTGTCGTTCGGGAGGAACTCAACAAGATATGGTGAGTCTGATGTTCCATGACCAGGGTAGTCGTAGTTAAGAACAGCGTCAGTAAGGCCGACTTGGTCAAGAATTAGATTGAAGTGTGAGGTCTTGGCATTTATCTGCTGTGACTCGACGTCGGTTGTATTGGCCGTTGTTGAAGAAGCTGAAGAAGCAGGAGGCTGCAACTGTGTAGCGGCCACCATGATGGCGATATGTATTCCAGTCTTACAACTGTGTGGTGCCTCTCAGGGAAGAATATAGACGGAAGTCTCAAGTCGAGCAAAGTTCAATATAAACAGCCGTGTGTTATTTGAGTGTACACCTCAGGTCGGTATATTAACATCTGATCTCGCAGATCAAGGGCTAGAATAAGAGCAGCTAAGAACGGCACATGCCAAGGTATTATACCCATCTCATATTGATCTTAGTATTGTCTGGTCCCTGGTCAGATTCACGGCCCGTTTTGTAGCAGGGAGCCGATTGGAGCGTACAAACTGTTATCCTAGGTGACACGGATCGGCATATGCTCTATCAGTTGTTTATAGGCACGAAGCATGTAGCAAACACCAATGAATGCCACACAAGGGTGCGGGATAGAAACCATCAAGGCTTCCAATCAGCCGAAATCCGTTTGATTCCCGTCCCCAAGCTCATTTTCCCCGTGGCTACACTCGCTCATCTAACATACAGTGTTGTCGAGCAGTTGGAGCAACCTTGAGCTGAGGATAAATCGGGGTTGCATAGGACAACCGACAATGTGGTTCCCTTCCAGCGCTTCTGATCGCCTATAGATTATGTCGGCGATGGTACTCTATCAAACACGTCTCGACTCCGTCTGGAAATATCAGGCTGACTCCGATGCACACATAGAGGCTATCAATCGTAGATGAATGAAGCCGAACCCCGCCGACCTTATCTGACTAATGTCAAGCATTTAAGTTTTGCTAAAAATGTCATCGGCAATCGGCATCCTCAACATCCGTTTTGTTGTACGCGATTCGGTTTCGAACGAGCTGGCATATTCTTTCGAGCCCATTATGTTATTCTGATCAATGTGACGGAAACTCAATTCGATGCCTGTCCCCAACGATCCCGTTTGACAGCTTCTCGAACTGTTACGCTTAATAAATCCAACGTGGCTCCGTATTGATTTCAGTCCATCAGATCAAGTCGAGATGTATTTGATACTTTTTATTTGTTCACCGAATGGCGGCAGATTGCGGCCGCGATGTGATGGTTGCAACATGGTGACCTACTAAGCTCTTGATATAAAACACAGAAAGTGGACGGGGTTCGGATCCATTCGGATAACCGCCTACCGATCAAGATGAAAAGTTGTGGAGGCATATTAATCACGTAAGATGGTAGGAATCACCCAATACCAGGCGGTCTTTCGTCTTTTGAGTTATACTCCTATTCTTTCATCCTTGATTGAGGAGGCCAGTTTCAATTTGCTGAGAGCCGTTTGTCGTTATGGATTTGATCTCAGTGGCCCGTGATATGACGTCTTGTCATCTGCCGAAAGAAATGCCCTGCACTCTTTCCGGGCTGCCAATTTAATCGTCAAGGCCTCCCCACTCATCATCTTCGTCTGTGGAAGTTCCTTGACGTGCGTCGAACGCGATCTGACGAGCATTGAGATCATGTGCCGCAGTACTGCTAGTACTATCGCTTTCGGAATCCTCATCTTCCTCCTGATCCTCTTCCGTATCCTCTTCCTCTTCCTTTCTATCGCCACTCTTATCATCTCTTTCCGTTAAAGAGACATGCTCACCAGTGGTTTTCAGGGCTGGCATGCCGAACATGTCACGGATGATCACACCGTTATCATCTCGCAGGTAAGGACCTTCGTTGCTGCTAGTCCCGATATTCTGTATATCGGGCCTCACAAAACCAGCCACAAAAAAGCCCATAACACCTTGCCCGTCATCTTTATAAGAGCGAATACAAGCCTCTGCTATGTCTTCATCGCCTCCACAGGCTTCAGAGAGTCCTCGGACGGGCCATTCTCTCAGCCCAGAAACCTGATCTTTCCGCAACAGAATGCGCCAACCCCGTTGCTTCGCAATGTCGGATTCGAGAGCTCTCATGACAACACGCTCGTTTTCTTGCATGTGGATTGAACATGTGGAGTATGTAATTCGTTTTGCTGATGGAAATTTGAAGGCGTGTAACAGAAGTGTCAGTTGAAATGAAGAAAGCGCTTCTAAGCGTGTTTCTAAATCCTTCTCCGACTTGATGGCAGTCTCGTTGCCGTCATCATCTATCATGATCCTATCCTCAGTTGCCTCTGTCTGCTCATGTTTCCTTTTGCGCCCGTTTTGCTTTGATGTCGGACCCTTTCCTGTGCTACTGATACCTTCTGGCAGGTGAAGGTCCGGCATGGAATCTCGTCCAACAATTCCACTCCCTGAGCAACTTGGATCCAGTAGCAAAGCTCCGACTGACTTGTACTTCTCTGCCGTAGGGTCGACTTGTAGGAAGTCTTGTCCAAATCCAATTTTTGTTACAGGCTTCGAACCTGCAATCTTGACCATTTTCTCCAGAGTTTGTGCTCGTCGAGAATCTTTTTCGAATGCATAGATTGTCTGCTCTGGTGTACTGGTTTCTGGTCTATGTTCTTTGAGGATCGCTGCCAAGTGAGTTGTCTTATTGCCAGGAGCAGAGCAAGCGTCGATTAGGTCGCCATCCTCTGCTCTGGGATCTAAAAGATAAGCAGGAAAACAAGAGGCTTTATCTTGTAGAATGATTTTGCCCGCTGTGTACGCCTCGGTTTTTGTGAGATCTGTTCCTGCAGTGATGGCCAAAAGGTTTGGCACATGTGGGTCGATGTATATGAGTCTTCCAGTGTTCGTGACGACCTCCTTGATTGATGTGGCTCTAGAGTACTTGGAGAACGTCGTCTCCAACTGCTCTTCGAGGGTACTCTTCACAGCATTGACACGAACCCAGCGAGGGTAATTCGCTTCTTCGCCGGCGCATTGCCTCTCAACTTGCTCTCTCAAAGCCTCGAGTGTCGGTATCTTTCTCCGAAGCCGTGCGAGCTTGAACTCTGAGCTTATGCGTCCTTTGTGCCTCTCGATTGATGCACGAAGCCCATGGCCTTGTGGAAGAGCAATTCCTTTCTTGGCCAACAAAAGGTCATGTACAAGAAGTAATGACAACGTCGGGGTCAGCTGCGTGCAATACTTAGTATAGGCGTTCCACAGTCTAGCGTAGTGTCGGGCTGCAAACCTTGCGCTCGAGTTTCAGAAGTTCTGATCTCTCAATCACTTCCTTCAGAATGAGGCTCCATTTGCAACTCTCTAACACCAAGGCGTAAACTTGGTTTGGTGCGGATTTAAGATTTTTCTTCTTGAAGACACGCGACTTGAGACTTCCGCCTTCAAATGATGATCCCGCCAGGATCTCTGCTGCCTCATGATACAGAGACATTTTCAATATAGTCTTCAGGGACGAAGAGTCGTGTGGTGATGAAGAAAATGTTAGAGAGAAAGGCTGGTCGTTCGTTCAATTTCTAACCGAACTTTAGCCGACGGCAAAATCATTAGTTGTAAGTGACTACCTAGGTACTGTGCCTGGTGTGCTTTCATCAAGGATTTTCGGAATGCGACTGTACGGAAGTGAAAACACAATCTGGCACAATATTGGCCTAGAACAACTGAAGATATATGGATGCTGTCGTACTATTCCTAACTTCAGAGTCCAAACTCCCAGGCTGACAACAGCTTCTTCACTCGAGCAACATGGTCACTAGTAGGATTGGAAACGGGCGTGGTATGCCGAGGACATTTTGATCACTTTTGTGTGCTACGGTTGGATGCATTTTGCATATGCCCTGGATTCATGACGGGCAAAAGATGTGCGCTCGAGCGCTTTGGCCCCTTGGCAAGCAAGGTATGTCCTCCATAAATGTACATGTGTAGAAGCGAATCATCCAACAACTTTCTTCCTGCCCCTTAATTCCATTCCCTTACACCACGCAACTTGAATCAAAATATCTGTCCATGAAATCGCCAACCTTATATTCTCCGGTCCAAGGAAGCGCAGTGGTCACTGGACCCCTATACAAGATGCTCCGTGGATGCACCATCACAAGAAATGACAGAAAGCTTTCTGCCATCTAGACTGCCATTCAAAGTATGATATTAGCAGATCCAGTTCGCCGGTAAGCAATATTTAGCGGCGGAGGTGGCTACGGCGGCGTAGATGGTTATGTCCACTGCCATGGTGGTGAGCATGTCGTCGAACATGATCTCTCTTGTAGCTAGGAGTGCCAGCCTCGGTCTGGACAGGCACACTGGCTGTCTGTGTGATTGTCACGGTATTCCAGACGGTATGAACCCTGGTCTTGCACTTCTTGGGCTTTTCGGGCTTGTCAAAGATGTCGGTTGGCTTGGGGGCACTGGAGAGAATATCGGTTGCTTGAGCAGCCGCCTCAGGCACAACTGAAGGATTGGAAGGTAGAGTAGGCTTAGGAACAACTGGTTCCTCGTGGACATCAGTGGAACCAGAAGCTGGCTTGGTGTAGCCGGGGAGGTCAGCGGCAGTGGTCTTCTCCCCAGAAGCCGGCTTGCTGGCAGAAGGTTGGGCAGAGGGCTTGCTGGGGCTAGTCTCACTGTCGCCGCCGGAGGGCATTGAAGGGACCTTATCGCCATAAGAAAATCCACTCAAGGGGTTGTTTCCAGGAAGTTTGCTCAAAGTACCAGTAATCTTTTCGTCGACCTCGGACTCAATGGTGCAGTCGCCTTTGTTGAGGCCATAAGTCAGGCCTGGGCAGTGGTCCATACCCTCGGTACCAGCGTTACAGGTGTCAATGATATGCTGGAGGAGGTCTTCGTCCCAACCGGCCATGAAGTCGGCATGGCTGCTGTATCCAGTAACATCGCCATTGGAGAAGACGAAGGGCTGCTTGCCCTCACCCTCAGTCCAGCGGCCAGTAAATTTGTCGGTACGCCAGTAAGCCTCGTAGAAAAGGTGAGGAACGTGAATCCAACCCTTGGGGCAGTCGAGATAACCGTCATTGTCCTCGGGGTAGGCCATGTTGTTCTTGAAGTCGGTGAGGCCAGCCTCGGGGTTATAACATGAGGGGAAGTGGACATCAGCTCGGAGGGGAGAATATTTGCCATCACAAGTTCGATCAGGGAACCCGACACCTTCACCCTTGTTGACAGGATCACCTACACCAGCCATCTTGCCATCA